GGGAGGTGGCCTGCCTTCTCTTGACGATCATGTCGTCGACGTACGCCTCCATCGTCCGGCCAAGGACCGCCTTGAAGATCTTGGCCACCATCCTAGTGTAGGTGGCGCCGGAGTTTTTGAGTCCGAAGGCCATGACGAGGTAGCAAAAGATTCCCTCTGGGGTCATGAATGCCGTCTTCTCGGCGTCCCCTTCATGCATGGAGATCTGGTGGTACCCTCTGAAAGCGTCGAGGAACGACATCAACTCGCACCCCGCCGTCTCGTCCACCAGCTGATCGATGTTGGGGAGAGGGAACGGGTCCATGGGGCACGCCTTGTTCAGGTCAGTGTAGTCAACACACATTCTGAACGTCGGCGGCTTCTGTGCGAGGACGACGTTGGCCAACCATGTTGGGTACTTCACCTCTTTGATATGTTTGATTGATAGGAGCATGGCGACCTCCCCTTTGACGAAGTCCCGCCTGTCAGCGGACAAGTAGCGCCGCTTCTGTTTGACGGGCGCGGAGGCCGGATCGACGGTCAGCCGGTGAGTGATCACCTGGCGGCTGATGCCGGGCATATCGTCCGGGCCCCACGCGAAGACAACGGCGTATGACCGTAGGACGAGGAGGATGGCGTCTCGCTGGTCCTGGGGGAGTTGCTTTCCGACCCTGAGAACCCGCTCTGGCCGGGAGGTATCCAGAGGGATTTCCTCGACCTCCTCGGCTGGCTCCGCATGTGGCCTCTCCTCGTCCATGGCGGCGGCGGCCGTGATGGTATCTATCCGCTGTCCCTCCCTTTCGGCCGGCCTCGTCAGCTTGAGGTAGCAAGCTCTGGCTATCCTCTGATTTCCTCTGGCGTAGCCGATGCCGTCGCTGGTGGGGAACTTCAAGCATAGGTGCTTCATGGAGATGATGGCCTCCAAGTCCTCCAGCGCTGGCCGGCCCAAGATCAAGTTATGGGCGCAATGGAGGTTGACCACCATGAACTCCATGTCAATTTTGGCATGGTGGGGGCCGTCACCGACTTCCACGGGGAGGACTATCGTGCCCTCGGCGTCGATAGAGTCCCCGGTGAAGCCGGATAACGGGGTCTTGATCGGCTTCAGCAGAGCTCTGTCCAGCTTCAGCTGCTTGAAGGTGTCTAGGTACATCACGTTGACGGAGCTCCCCGTATCGATGTAAGTGCGGTGGATGATGGAGTCACCGATCTCACATCGGATGACGAGGGCGTCCCTGTGTGACTCCGTACCCGGAGGCAGATCCTTGTTGGTGAAGGTGATCGCCTCCGTTCGCTGCTTCTTCGGCTGGGGGGGAACGTGGGACACCTCTCCAATGTAAAGGGATTGGGCCCATTTCTTCCTCTGAGTGGCGGAGTCCCCCCCAGTGTTCCCGCCCACGATGAGGTGGATGTGATTCTTCTTCGGCGGAGGCTCCTCGAAGTCCTCGTCGTCGCTGAGTCTACCAATCTCGCGCTTCTTCGCAGAGGGTTCGCCCCCACGTTTGCCGGTGTTTACCCAAGTGTTTTTACGTGGGCCACCTTTGACAAACTGGGAGAGTTCCCCCTGGCGAATAAGATGCTCGATGGCCTTCTTTAATGTGATGCAATCGTCGGTGTTGTGCGACGAGTTCTTGTGGAACCGGCAATACGTGCCGCCCTGTTGGATGGCCAGGACCTCCTCGGCCGGCCGAGGAGCCTGCTCGATGAGGCCGTGCTTTTCGGCATAATCGAGGATGGTGCCGACCGGGTGGGTGAGGGCTACCCCCGTCCGTTCCATCCTCGGCCGCCAGTGGCGGTCTTTCTTACTTTGTCCACCAGAGCCGTGGCGGCCCTGGGCACCCTGGCCGGCCGGGGACGGGCCCGAGGTCGGCGAAGGATTTGTCTTCTTGGGGGGATGGCCCCCTCTCTCTTGTGATTGTGGAGCTCGTCGGCGTCGGCATACAAGCCTCCGCGTTGGAGCGCCTTGGCGTACGACCTCGGGGGGTCAGTGATGAGGCTCCTGGCGTACGGGGAGTTGCGGAGGGCTCCCTGGTACAAGGCGAGGAGGGTGCGCTCATCGGCCTCCTCGACCTCCTCGGTCTCCCTCGTCCACCGGTCGATGAATGACCGGAGGGACTCCTCGTGCTGCTGTTTGACGGAGAGGAGGTGGGTGAAATACTTCTTGGCGCGCTTCCTCCCAGCAAAGTGAGTGAGGAAGCGCTGGGCGAGATCTTGCCATGAGTCAATGCTTCCCTCTGGCAGCCCGTTGAACCACTCGTACGCTGTCCCCTCGAGAGTAGAGAGGAACCAACGGCAGAGGTATTCGTCGGACGCGTTCACCATCAGCATGTTGTTTTGATAACGGCTGAAGTGCTCCTGGGGATCCGATCGGCCATCGTAGGGCTTGATGGCATTTCCCCTGTACTTCTCAGGGATGGGGGCCGAGAGGACCCTGTTGGTGAAAGGGGTCCTGGTCCTGACCTGGATGATGGGGTCACCCCGACCTTCGGCCAGCTCCCTCTCCAGGGCGCTGACTTTGTTCATGAGCGCGTTGAGGCCGGGGTCGTTGGAGGCGCCGGCCGTAGGGACGTTGGCCGACTGCTTGGCCTCCATCTGAGCCAACCTCCTTTCCAGCTGGGCGATGACCTCGTCCCGGGGGTCCCCGTCGGCCGCGACGGCACCCGGCTGGTTCCTCCGGCGCTCGTTGTGAGCCGCGTTGATCTGGTGACGCACGTCATCCTCGTGCAACTTCCCATTGCCCTTGTCCGGGCGGGGCTGGTCCGCTGTCCGGGACACAGACCCCAAACTCTCCCTTGGCGAGCCAGGACGAGGATCACCAATCCGTCCCGCCATCCTCTCCGAAACCGGACGACGGCGCGTGTCACCTAGCCTATTGAAGGCAGAGGCTTTTCCACGCGCTGGGGTCTGCCCGGGCCGAAAAGGGGAAGCAGGGTGGGAGTGGGACGACGCCGTGTCCTGGGCCACAACCCCCTCATTGTTGCCTATCTGGTCGGCCAGGGGTTGGGGATGAGGAGGTGGAGTGACGTTTCCCCCGGTCCTTGGCAAGAGTGCGCTGAGGACGGTGGGATTCTGAGCCAAGCTGGCGATGATAGCCGATAGTGCGGCCTGGACTTGAGGATCTACGGACGGAGAGGCCGCGGCCATAGGCTGGGCCGGGGCGTGGTCCGCTTTCTCAGCTCGTTTCTTTTCCAGGCCGAGGCGGGCATCGGGGACTCCGCCGTTGAGTTGGTTGCGGAGGTCCGTCGTGAGGTTGAAGGCTTCCTGGAAGAGGTCCCCTCCGCCGACCTGGTCGGCCGTGGCGTCCTCATCGTGCTCACTGGGCTCTTGGTCCTCAGGGATGGCTTTGCTGACGAGGTTGCGGTTTGACTTAGTTCTCCCCATGATCAGTGGTTAGCTGTGCTTGGTAGCGACGAAGGGTGCTAACTTGATTGTTCTAGCTCTCAACGAGAGCACCAAATGATAGAGTATATCTAGAGAGAAGTGAGAGCTAGAGAGAGAAGTGCAATAATATGCTTCAATAGAATGATTTCGTAACCCCTATAACTACTCCCAAGGGGAGTATTTATAGAGAAAATTAGGGTTGGGCTCCCAAGGCTTGGGCTTGGGAGGCCCATTTACAACTGGACCGCTACTGGGCCGAATACAAAGCCACTAATGGGCTGTACAAGTGAGTAAGTGTAGGATCCGATTCTGGGAGGTCCTCGTGGCCGACGAGTTCCTGGCCGACGAGGGCACGGCCGACGAGGGCACGGCCGACGGGGGCACCCGGGTTCCTTGGACTCGGGATCATAATCCGGGTTGGCTTCCTCTCGGCCGACGAGGGCGTTTGGCCGACGAGGGCGCCACTCTGTCTTGTGCTCTGTTCTTCCGAGTATGTGGGTCCTGGGGCTCAGACCCATATACTCCATCAATGAGTATCTTCAAATCTTCAAAGATTCGTTCTTCATATCTTCGAATCTTCAAAGTCTTGTTCTTCAGATCTTCGAATCTTTGAGCTCCGTTCTTCAGATCTTCGAACGTTCTTCAACTTTTGGATTTATTTTATTAAGAATCGATGAAATCACGAAAGATTATTCGTATATTCTTAATAAAATTCGTGGCTTGATCTATTCCTCTTCTTCGGAATCGTTCAGAGCCTTTCGGGAGTTCGTGAGAGCTTTTCTGCAACGTTTCTTCGTCTGAAAATTCTCCTCCCCTTCCTCTCAACTTAGATCCCTATTTATAAGTGTGGAGGGGATGAAAATATGCTCTAGGGTTTTGGAAATTCGTCCATATCCATTGGGCCTCAAATAAAATGGGTTTTGGGCTCTATTTGCTTGCATTTAATAGCCAGAAAAATCAGCACTTGTTCGATGTATCTGGACAGCTTTTTTAACAAGGTTCGTAGCCATTTTCCATGCATACAGATGAATTTCTTAACCATATTCATTGCTCTCTTTATCAATTGGATCATGATTCTTATTCATTAGGCTACTATTTAATAATGGGCTCAAAATAAAGAATTTAATAGGACCGGTCCATTCTTTTCAAAGAATTAAATTAATTGGATATGAAATGTTCTGAATTAATTAAATTCTATCTGAACAGATCCATATTAATATTTTCTCTGAACTTTATGAGTAGCCCGTTATACTTGAGTTCGATCCAATAGCATCTAAAAGAGGCCCAATAAGGTCAATAGTAGCTCGATACCGTTTGAAGAGGCCCAATGACTATCAGAACCGGCCCAATAATTTTAGATGTCTACAAATGCTCCCTCGAGACTTACTTGAACGTTCTTTTCAACGAGTGAAACGTGAGTCTCGACTTAATATCAGAATATACTTGAATGCTTGAAATAAGGCAGCCAACTTCTAAAAAAAAATAGAAACATTGATTGGCCCAAATCACGTGTTCACTCACAACTCAATTTCTTCATTACCAAATATTCCTACTAGCTCAAAGAGAAATCAAATTGTACATAGAGTAATACTTCGTAGTTGGGACTTGGGAGGAGTCCACGAATTAAATTTAAAAAAAAACCTCTTCATTATCCCACTCAGCCCAACTATTCAATATACATAGGAATACTACCCGATTCTTTCCTCACATGTTTCCAAATATGAATCAAATCCTCCAACTCAAAATAATAATGATCGAACTTCTATCCGGACTTGAATTCTATAGCACATAAATCGGATCTAACTTTTATTACCGTCTATAAATAGAACCCAAAATTTGCATTCTGCATTTAACTTCGTATAACAATTTTTTTTTTACTTAGAAGCTTCAGAAGGAGAAATCGGCTCAGCCAAAGCAAATCAAAAGGTATATTGGCTCTTATTTTTTTTTTCCAGCCCTTCTCTTTTCTTTCTATCAAATTGTAGGGGAGAGTTTCAGGTAGAGATGCTTCCGGCCAGAGAGTTTGTTGGTGCCGCAACTCAAAGTCAATTTATTTCTGAGGGTGAGCAGTGAACGAGATTTCATGGAGGGTGGCTACCGATTGCTCTGATTAGTTGCTGGCTAACAGAAGAAAAATCCTGGAAGAGTCGCCGTCCTAATTTGCCGGAGAGAGAAGAACCGGAGTGTTGTCATCGCTGTGAGAAGTTGCCGGCCAGAATTCGAATTGATGCTGGAGAAGATGACGGGAGGCCGATGCTCTGCTGTTGCTGCAGCCTGCGGAGTTCGCTGATGCTTTGCCGTTGCAGATGAAGCTGATGGCGGTGTTTGTTGCGTTTTTGGCGAGGATTGAGAAAAGCACGATCGATTGCTTGATGCTGCGTGAAGACGACCAAGGGAATGGGAACCTGGACTGTTTTTAATAAATATTGGTCCTGTCCAGAATTTAAGCCTTCCCATTTTTAAAGGCTTGGGCTGTATTCCACAAGTGGACCTATTTAATAATAACGAGGCCTGATTTCTTTGCTACTTGAAGTGATTTGAACGTGGTGTCACTTGTTGCAGAGGAAGGAGTTAAGCCTATTGTCGGTTGTCGGTTGTCGGTGTCGCTTGGGACCCTTCGTTGGGTTAGTGGCACCGATCTAAAGAATTGGTTCGATTGCCGGTCATCGGTGTCGCTTGGGTCCCTTCGTTGGGTTAGTGGCACCGATCTAAAAAATTGGTCTGATTACCGATCATCGGTGTCACTTGGGGCCTTTCGTTGGGTTAGTGGCACCGATCTAAAGAATTAGTCTAATTACCGATCATCGGTGTCACTTGGGGCCCTTCGTTGGGCTAGTGGCACCAATCTAGAGAATTCGGCTAATTACACCTGTTGAAGACTGAGATGTTGCCGCTACTTTCGACCTTTGTCCATTCTGAAGGAGCTTGACTAATTATTGGCCAGTGTTACTGATTTCTTTGCTCGTCTAGGCGGAAGATGAAATTGCTCGGGCTTGAGATTGATTATCATTGTTGAGCGGCCTCTTTTTTATTATTATTATTATTATTATTATTATTTTTATTTTAGTTTTTTTAGTAATAATAATAAGAATAATGATTTTTTTTTGCAGTCCAAAATGATATATTTTAGGAACGTAAGGCGTGGAGGCAAAAAGTATCTCTCCATATCAATGAGCAAGAAGAATGACGAAGAGATTCTTTTGGAGATGCACAAGCCATTTGCTTGCGAGTTTTGGGGTCCAACGGTTGTGTCCTATCGAGTTACAAACTGGACTCCTGAGTGCGAGTATCAAGCTCAGACAATGCGGACTTTAGTATCTGGCTTTACTCACATGTCCTCTTCTGAGATTCTTCCTTCTTTGGGTAGACGCATCCTTGATGAAAACGTCCCTTTGACAAAGACCTTATCATTTGGTGGTGAGTTTAGATTCATCACAGGTTATTGGGACTGGGCCGAGGATATTTTGAGCATGAGTAAAAACGTTCTGGAGGAAGGGATTATTTACGATGCTGTTTATGCCTCATTATTCATGTATGACCGGTGTACTAATGTTATTCAAGCATTTTGTGAGGCATGGTGTCCCACGACGAATACTTTGCTTACGTCAATTGGCGAATTGACGATCACACTTTGGGACTTGCACGTTATCGGGGATTGCCTATCATAGGAGACGCGTATGATGAATCTATTCCGGGCACTTCTGAGTTGTTAAATATGAGTGCTGACCGTTCACTTCATCTCTACAAATATTTGTTTCAAGCATATCATCATCTCTTTCCCAAAGCCGGAGATAAGCGTGTTTTGCGTGTTCATGTGTGGGTCAAATTCTGGTTCAGAAAGACCTCCAAGTATACTATGCCTCCAGTGAGAACAGAGAAGAAACGAACATCCCGTGCCAAGGCGACCCATAATCCGAGCGGAGCTATTCCAAAATTTGGAGGATGGTCGACTTCTATGAAGGTACCTTTCCACGTACTCAAGGTTCCTGCTGAATATGAGGAAGAGGTATATTTAGCGGCATTTTTATCGTGTTAGCTTTGTGCATTTGTATTGCCGCATGAAGGTCCTAGAGTTATCCGCCCGGAAACATTCAGAGTTGCTTGTATGTTGGCTCGAGGGAAACGTGTATGCCTTGCGGTCCCGGTTCTTGCAAGTGTCTATCATGGGCTTAATCGGATCTCGAATGCTCCAGCTCCTGATCAAGTTAGGACGTGTTTTCCCGTTCACTATGTCTATGGATGGTTGGCATCATACTTTGATACGCATTGTAAGAATGAGATCCAGTCCACGACGCCATTAATGATTTCTTATTCGGGAGAAAGTGGAGCGAGATCCCTCGAGAAGAGAAGTGCGCGCAAACGAATTTTCCAGGGAGATGTATCAGCATGGGTGTTGTTAGTCCCAAAATACTAACAATCATACAACCATAACAGTGATAAAGAAGCAGATAGAAAGAAATCGATAAGATTAAACGCGAATCTGATATACTGTATGAATCTGCCGCTACTCTCCCTAGAGAAGGAGAGCAGCGGCAACCTAATTTCTCTCTATCTCTACGCCTCTGCGTCTCTAAGCCTCTCTAGATTGTTTGGGTTCCCGTAAGTTAGCCTCCTTTTATAGGAGAAGTTAGCTAACTTACGGGTTACAAGGAAGCCCACGGGCTGATACACATTTGTGGCCCGTATTACACGTTTAATTTATAACTACACAAATACAAAGATAACTAACTAGATTGAACACCATAAGATATTCCCAACAATCTCCCCCTTGGTGATCAATCGTGTTGAATCAGCATTGCAGCACATATATCTTTGTCTTTGTTGTTATTGAGCTTCCTTTGTCTTTGAACTCGACTTCTGAGGAAGGCTATCTGAAGAAATCCTTGCAATCTCCCCTTTGATATCTTCTTGACAGTTTGATCTTTGATGCCGGGGGTTGAGGGACCTTCAGTATCTTGCATGTAGTTCTTGCCTTCCAGAAGTTGCTCTTGATCAGCTTGGATGAAGTCCGGTGACGCCTCTAGAATGAATGTTCTTTGGAGAATAGGAGACGCCCATGGAATTCATCTTGAGGACACGAGTATTTGACCTCTGTCTCCTCCACAATGTAGTCTTTTTGACTATTTGGAATTAATGCATTTGAGGAGAACTTGTCGGTTGCACAACGGAACATAATGATGGTTGATTTGTGAGTGTAGCTGACCATTTGATTTGAGTTGCGGAGATAGTAGAGAGGGTGTTGAATTTTGTGATGGAGGAGTGAAGTGTCCCAGAATGATTTGTTCAGTGTTAACAGCATGTGGACCACTCTCCCCCTCATGACGATCCGATGAATCGGGACGTCATGCTTTTATTCTTTTATTCTGCGGAAATAAAAACATGAAAAACAAGCAGAATCTAAAAAAGATAACTTAGCCCCCCGGGGTCGTGAAGACGCCCGTTATCATCACTATAGAGATAAACTCTAAAGCAATGGCCTGAAAATGTTGGTGATTCTTATGTTGCAACAGCAGGACTTCCTTCCAATCATTAGTCTACATCTGCAATAGATGAGACCTATGGAAGTTTTCGCGGGTCATGTAGACCTGCAACTGACTCTAAAAGTGCGTCTGTGTCCTAGAAAATTTCAAAACATTTGGGAGTGAGTAATTAGACACGACGTGATCAATGAAAGTTCAGTGGCATGGGGCTGAGGCCACTGTAGTCAGTATTACTTGCCTCGTAAGGAGGTAGTAATGAGAGATGTGGTTCCCCGTGAAATATGATTAAACACCTGTCTGTTGGGAGACAAGTGAGTGGTCTAGGGTAGGGTTGTGCATGCGCCGTTTGGAAAAAATGCAGCGACTTCTACCCGGGATCTGAATGAATTCAGTCCTGAACCTATGGGGATAGTCCAGAGTATTTTAGTGGCTAGGAGCAAATGGTCAATTCATAGCAGGCAATTGAGGTAGCAGACTCATCATTGATAATTGTTTCCTTCTCACTCGAGCCTTCTGCTTCCTAATGCTCATAATGTTCACTCACTCACTCGCTCACTTACGCACTTACGCTCGGCTTTGTCCCTTGGGTAGGCTTAGTTGGGTTTACTAAGCCATAGGCACATGTTCTCTCATTACTTTCTTCATTTTCTCTCTGTACTCCCCCTCAACTGGAGCACTCGGTATGCTTTGTCATTGTTAGGCACCGGGGAGGATAACATTGAACACTCCACCTAAAATGTTGCATCCTTTGAGAGATTCCTTGCTTTGTCGGTGTAAGGCGCCAGGAGGAGAAAACTGAAACTCCCCCTCAGAATGTGCAAGGTTTGATTGCTCACAGCTTGTCATACCCGCCATGTGTGTGGAGCAATCTGAACATGTACCACACATGACGGTTTCCCTGAGCTCATCATGTAGAATTTCAGCATATTGATGATCACATAATGTTGACGAGTCAGGGGAGGCTCCAGCAGTTGATTGTTGATTGTTGCAAGATGACCGTTGACGCGAGGTTGATTGAATTATCTACGATTTTCAGACCTTTACATTGAAGTTTAGAAAAGCTTTGATCTCAGGGTTTGACATTGAAAGAATTTGAACAGATTTGCCTAAGTTTTGACCTGGACATCGGTGATTTACAATGTTTGTCGGAAAACTAACGTTTTGACCCTCAAAGACTGCGAGTGAGGGCGCGTGAGAATGGGTTCTGGGTCGTAGCCCGAGAATTAATGAAGATCTTTTCGTTAGCTTTCTAACTAAAAAAAAGTTTGCTCAAATCGGATCACCGAGTCAAAAGTTATGGCCAAAACAGTGCGGTGTCGCAGAAAATCTCTAATTTTGAGTTTTTGAGGAATTTCTTCGAAGTTGAGGTTCTCGATGATGAATGTCGAGAGCAAGTGGATTTTAAACAAAAGTCTAAGGCAATATTTCGAAATCCTAATCTCGAGGTTTAAATCTCGAGATTACAATCTCGAGGTTTCCTCGAAGAATAATGGCGAAATCCACCTGCAAAACAAACCTCAGAATATCGAAATCTGCAGAATTTCAAAATGTTTGAACATCGAAAACTTTGGAGTTTCGAAAACCTCATAATCTCGAAAACTTGCTGTTTGAAAAACATCAGAACATCGAAAACTCCTGAAACATTTATAAGCAGGGAATCATTCAGAGATCCTTATAATGTAAAGCTTCGATGAACTGCAAAGGATGTCAAGATTTGAATTATGAGTTCCAAGAAACTGCAAACTTTGAAAGATTCAAAACATCGATAAATTTTGAAAATCTCGAAATCTTCAGAATGTCGATATCCAAAACATCGAGATCCCAAATGTCGAAATCCCAAAACTCGAAATTCCTAAACTCGAAATTCCAAATCTCGAGATCACAAATCTCGAGATCTTGATTTCGAGATTCAAATCTCGAGATCTTGATTTCGAGATTCAAATCTCGAGATCAAGATGTCGAGATGCAGATCTCGAGATCAAGATGTCGAGATGCAGATCTCGAGATCAAGATGTCGAGATGCAGATCTCGAGATCAAGATGTCGAGATGCAGATCTCGAGATCTCAAAAGTCGAGAAGAAGAAATCGATGTCCCTAAATGTCGAGATCCTGCAAAACGAAAACATTGATTTTTGAAAATCTGAAACCTGTTCTGAATAGCCCTGAAAGTCGAGATTCTCCTGTATCAGTTTCAAGCCAAAAACGTTTCTGCAGCAGTGAAAAATAAGGATTTCGAGATCTCAAAGTAGAGATCTTCGAAATATAGAATTTGCAGAAAACGAAAAAAGAGGTATGCTGCTGGATCGGTTTTGAAAGGTGAATCCAACAGTATGATTTTTACAAAATTTCGTTCACAAACGAGATTACAGGAGCAAATCTCTACATATAGAAAAACTGAAGAAAAAACAGAGCAGTTCTTCGTTAGATCAAAAAATCGCAGACAGATCCAACCTGTTTCACGCCTCGGCTCTGATACCAATTGTTAGTCCATGTTTCTGTAACAGCAATGAATAATCGATCTAACAAGGAAGATTAAACGTAA